TACACACTCCAGGTGCACTATATACAGGTGAAGGAGAAGGGGCCAGGGTTCCCAGGGGTGCAGAGCGGGGTCGGGAAAAGCGTCCAGAGTCTCCAAACCAAACACGAGAAATCTGCATACAGAGAACAAGGGTTAGCACGGAACTTTCACGGACAGAGCTCAAAACTGGCTGAGGCTAAAGTAGCACTGACGAGCGTTATTCAATAGTCCAGCGGCGAGGTGCTCTCAGTCACTGCCTTAAGTAGCGGGAGCAAACAAGGTGAGGAGCCACAGGTGATTGCCTACAGGTGGTGGAGGCCGGGAGCTCACAATGAGCTCCGCCCAGGCAGCAAGCAGAGAGAGAGGAGAGAGAGAAAAGACAAAACATAACATGTAGCCACACAGGGCCAGCCGAGCAGGCACGGGGACCATGACATGAATAGCAAGGCTTTTAACATTGTATAAAAAAGTAGACACGACATCAGGGGAATAAAAGAAGGCTGCAAGTTATGTTTTCATATTAGGCTTGCATAGGCCTTAAAGGTAAAGAAATGCTATAATGAATGTTAGACCTTCACCTGGTGTACACTGAAGTGCACTTTCACCAGCTAGTAAGCTCCGTCACAATTATCTGCATCAGTATTTTATTCTTTTGATTTGTAAATGTTTTTAACAGTACACAGTGTGATACACTGCTCCATTGTGTGCAGAAATAATTTCATAACCATTTCATAAAAGAAAAACCCTACTTCAGGCCTTTGAAATATGGAAATGATATCACAACTAAGCTGTTGCTGGCAGACACGGTGATGAATTACCCTTCTACTCCTGGAGCTATTATAGATCTGTTGTCTGAGGCATGGACTGAATAAATGGAAATAACACACACAAACAATTAAAATCTGTTTATTTAGAATGCAGCAGACATGAGACAGCAATGAGAGCAGGTGCAAATGCTCTAAACAAAATCTAATTGCTGTGTGCTTGAGCTTGAGCTTCTGATAATGCGATTAACAGAAGCTGTGATGCTGGCAAACACAAAACTAGACTGAGAAGCATGACACATTTTTATGTGTAGATCTACATCCTTTACTCTCACTGTAGCGCTGTGTAGTACATTTTGCCTCCATTGAAATGGCATCTATAATTCCTCAGTGGTATGTTGTGAGATCTATGCAAGAGGCTGCAGAAATTAATACATGTTGATATGACTTAACACTGCAATATATTGTTTGCATGCCTCTGGCGATGATCTGTGTTTTCTTTGGAGTGGCAGCTGCTCAGCATACTGCCCTTGAGGCACTGCCACAACCTGCCACACTATATTAGCAAGAAAGTTTGAGTTTTGAGCAGCTGATATTTATTTACTCCTGAGGCATATTTGTGTTTTATTAGTTTGCATTTCACTTGAAACAGACATGTAGCATGAAGGTCAAAGAGATAGTGGTGAGATGTTTGAAGCTTCACCAGATTCAAGTTGGATATGCACTATGTGCGTAAATTGGTGTTGCACCTAGTGTTTGGTTTTCTGGCTTTAAATAAGATGTGTATTTGATCACATGTTAATGGTTTACTGCAGTCAAACTAAAAAGAATGTGCAGCAATGTTATATTCGGTAGTCCTTTCATTTTTAATGATTTAAGGATTCTCTGTTTTCTATTATGTGGATTAGAAAATATCAAAAGAAAACCTCAGTAATATTGCTAGATTTGGTTTAAAGGTAGCTGAGTTTATTATGATAGACAATAATAGAAAGTGGCAGGGGAATGGTTCGATTTTGTGAGGGTTTAAAATGTAGAAACAAACTTAATTATGGCTTTTTATCACTACAGGGGAGGATTTTCCTGAAGATAATGCTGATTTTCTAAGCCCACAAAGATGATACCAGTACAGTCAAAAAATGAAAGCTCTTTAAAGACAGATTTAAAATCAATGATTGCCATGGGAGGTCGTCTGTTAGTACCACCTGGATGTTGCATCTTGAGAAATAAATGTGTCTACTCGTGAGGAGAAAAGAGTTACTTTGAGTCGCCGTGTGATATCACACCACAGTGTGAACGTGTGGGCAGGGTAACGGCCGTTTGTGATGGGGTAAATATGTCACCCAGTGGAATAATACAAACTATAAATACCAGCACAATGATTTTAGTCCAGGCATATAAAGTGCATTTTAACTGCAACTATTTCTTGAGCTCTTAACAACGTACCATATGAAACATTCTTACAAGTTGAAGCAGAACCATCACACATGCAGAGCTGGGGTGTTCTTTCAGTTTTAACTTAAAATTTAATTTTCAACAAATTTTTTTTTTTTTTTTATGTTTCCTACAAATTTAGGTTTCTATTAGTTTCTCCTGCAGACAAATACAAATAACATAAGCAGCTCCTTTCCAAGTGAGTCTTTCATCTTGAGGAACTGCCGTTTGGTATTCCACACTCTGCTCCACTTTCTGCAAGTTCTGGTTAGAGTGGCCCAAACCTCACAGAAGATCTCTAAAGCAGCGAAATAATAATGACTGCCAGCTACAGGGGAAGGTGCTGGAGTTGGGTTATGTGTAACCATTAGGCGTAATCCTTTTTGCAGAAGCAGTTGGGGATATGGATATGCGGTGGGATGGCCTGGGACTAGCTGCTTAACATGGATTAAAATTTAAAAATAACAGTGAAAGGATTTTCCACTACTAAAGTGATGAGTGATAGCATCATTCTTTCAGACTTGGCTTGCCCACGCATAGCCTCAGATTGAACCTGAGATCTGTGGTCTCTGGTTTCTTTTACAAACAACCGTAGCACTCATCTTTTTAAACTTGTTTTTGTTTAAGTGTTTGTTCTTGTTGTTTACCATTCCTGTTGTGAAGCACTTTGTGATATTTATCTTGAAAGGTGCTGTGTAAATACTTGACTCGCTTTATTTACTATGCATGAAAAATGATAAATCCAATAAGATTCTACCCCATACAATAAGACTGATACATTAACTGTTTTCTTCTTAACAACACAACAAAACATTGTTGGTCTTATTTCATAAAGGACGTTTATATCCCAGTGAGGTTTACTGTGTAAAGTGACCTTTGGCTCAACAAACAGCTGATTCCTTTCACAATGAAAATGTGATTTCCCTGTGATCGGCAAGTGTTGTACCCACTCTTAAAAGGTGTGAGAGAAGAAATTCTTATACATAGAAAACCCTGTTTTTAAACAGCTCCTTTCATGAGGCGTGGAACTGCAAGCTCTGAAACAGTTCAGCTAGAAATATTTTCAGTGTAGGAAAAACACAATTTATGCAGGACTCCTGGGTTCCAACATAAAGGTGGGTTTTAGTTAGGTTCCTTTCTCTTGGCAGTTACATTTTTGGAGATTGATTTTTGTCCTCCTTTCTATGGGAGTATTGTTTTTTTAAGTACCTGATACATAAACACCTTTTGTCACGGAAGGTGTCATTCATTAGCAGTTATGAGCCTAATGTGCTACCCATCTGCTAATCTCCCACCTTTGGAGTCGATAATTTGATTATTCATATGGAGCACAGATTCATCTGCAGTTAGGCTTAATGCTGCTGGCTGTGAACAGATGCTGAAATGTGAACTTGCAGCCCTCTGGCCTCAGCTCCATACGGCTTCCAACAGAGACGTGTTGTCCTGTGCCATTCAAACACACAGTGATGACCACCGGCAGCAGGACATCACCAGCTCAGTCTTATTTTCAGATATGGAAATAAGGAGCAGCTGAAGCCCAGGAGGAGGGAACAATTCAGACACTTGACACAGAAGTGAGGCAGACATCAGGGGTTGTCACGGAATAGGACTTGTGCATGTATGCCAACACGTGTGCGCTTTTTTATTTTATCATCTTGGCAATGGCTTTGACTTTACTCACTTGCCAGCTTTATTTGACCTTCCTTTGACCATTTGTGTCTTATTATGTGTTATAAGTATGAGTCTAGAACAGCTGATCTGTGCTATGAGATGGGTCTTGTCTGTGCTCCCATTGATTATCCCGCCGGAATTACTGAGGTTTGGTTGTTCATAGAGGCATCACCAGCAGTTGAGGATCAAACTAGGGCTGCAGTTCATGGGTAATTTCATTATTGATGCTCATTCTTTTTATTTAAATTGCAAACTAAAAAATCCACTCATGTGAGCTGTTCACCCATCTCTCCTTAGAAACTCAGTTGTTTGTGGCAGCTTGAAGAGATCCTGAGGCTGAGCATATGTGAAGGCTAACCATCAAACTTTACCTCAGCAAAACCTTTTAACATAGAATATTATTCATCTAACGTTTCGTACAGTTTTACCAGTGTAGTGACTTCAGTAACAAAAGCCGCAGCCACGTGGCTCTGTTATACGTGTTGGGCATAAAATTGGGGAGGTGAGGACGAGCTACCGCTGTATAACATACCAGCAACTTAGAAACTGTCTTTAAATTCCAATAAACAAACACTGCTTTCATACAGGGCATTGCTGAAGCATGAAATCAACAACTAACAAGGTTAAAGGGGAGACTGTGTGGTCATAGACTAAATGTAAAGCTGCTGTATTTTCTCCAGTGTGTGTTAAAGCAGCACTTCATATCACAAGCTCATTATATCTGAGCCATAAAGTGATTATAGGCTCCAGTAAGGCATTGTTCTGCTGCTGACAGGATTAAATATGACTTTAGAGAGAGGGAGCGTCACTGCTCTCTGCTCAAGTGTTTGCTTGCTTTGTATAAGCCAGAAGTGAAAGGGGCCGCACACTTGACTATTTGCCAGCTGCGGTACACCCTCCCTCTGTTCTTTTGCACATTTATCTCCTGCCAGTTTGTATATCCATCTAGACCTGTCTGCTTTGTTCTCGTTGAAGGATTCAAAGAAAATCCTTGAGACACCAAAGGCTGTAAATCTCAGTGTGACACTGATCAGTATCTGTCATTCAGTGCAAGCACAGAATTATTTGAGATTCACTACTGCTGACTTGATCTAGTTTAGTTTCTTTGATTAATACTACGTAATTGCCAAGTTCTAACAAAATCTTTTTCTGCAGAAGAAGAGTGGAGTTGTGAAGACGCAAGAGAAGAAGGAGAGGTGGAAGGAGAAAAAGGCGGCAAAGCGTCAGAAGAAGGAGGACGAGGAGGTGGAGGAGGAAGAGGAGAATGTTCAGCCAGTGGTGGATCCCCTGGAGAACGGCTTCCTTCATCACGCCCAGCGGGAGCAGGAGAGGATGAATGAGAGGCTGCTGAAGAAGACTTACTCCAAGAAGAACAAAATGGTTAGTGTGTGCCTGCACGGCATTTTAAAGTCAAAATATCCCACTGGCTACAAGTTCAAGTAAAGTTACAAAGGTTGCATGCATGTTGCATGGATTCTTGGCTTGTGTTTTGCTGACAACAGAACAGAGACTTGCACTCTGTCCATGAAGGAAGAGGAGGCGGATGCTTGGGCAGAGTTTGAATCTAATTTAAAAGGCAGACTGCAGACTGTCTTTTTCTCCAGATGCTTTCCATCCTTATCCAAATCTAATGTAAAATTTGAAGATGTTGAGGGAATGGATATTATTGTCAGCTGCTTTACTGATTCTTGCGTTCACTGGGACTTTGCAGTGTTATGGATGTCGCTTTATGTAGGAGACATGAGTTATCTCTGTCAATGAGCAAACCTTATTCAGTGTCCAGAACTAGAGAAAAATCATTAACTCCAAAACATTGTGGACTTCTCACCGATAAAGTCACTTTTACTTAGGCAGTATTGAAAAATGGTATATGGCATTTTAAAATTAAAGTGGTTCTCATTATCTTTGATATCATATTTGTATGAAAGGGCTTTGTTCCTTCCTTATTCCTGTAGTTAGAAATAGTGTTGAGTTTAATCTTTGGCTTTTCTTTTGCTGCTGGCTAATGAGACTTTCTTCAGTGGGCAACCTACAGGCAATCTTCTGGTGACTAAAGGTTTTTGGTGCACCACCTAGCAACCATTTGCCAACCTGTAGGATATACAAATTTTTCACTTACAACTGGTGGTTACCAGAGAGTCACCAGCCTTTCTGAATGGTTGTTTAGATAGTTTAGTTTATTAAGATCCCCATTAGCACCTGCAATAGCAGTAGCTACTCTTCCTAGGGTCTGACTAAAACATTCTCATACATAAAAGACGTACTAGGGCTTTAGCAGTTAATTTCACAGTCGCTGCCTGCAACGTCTAGGACTCACTAGCAATTAGTCAGGTTTTTTACACATAGACTATATGTAGAATATTCATAGAGTCTATAGTTGTGAAATGTGAGTATGGTTCACTTTAACTTAAGCCTGAACAATACCCATAAATTATATGTCACTTGATCTACTGTCAGTTGCATGTGCATTGTAAATATGCCACCCATGCTATAGCTGCTTGTTCTGCTGTCAAACTTATGCCTGAATGAACTTGTGAAAACACGAAGTAATAAGTGATCCAAATATGAATGACAGAATTCTTAACATATTGAAGCCAACAGTGTTACACAGCCCACATCTGCCTCACTAAGATAGCCCATCTGTGTGTTAACAGTTTGTTTAAATGGGTGGATATTTTATGCTCCAGTCCAAAGCCAAGATCCACCATAGTGTTGTTAAGGATAAAAGAGGAAATGTCGTCAGTAAGCCAAACGAAATAATGAGGCTATGTAGCCCCGAGGCCTCCTCCACAGACAAAAATATCTCTCTTAGATAAGATTTCCTTAGGAAGTTAACTTGGCTGAAAATGAGTTTGGCTGGGATATTTAGTTTGCTAAGAGACAGTTAAAAATTATGCATTCAGCTGATGCTGTATTTGAAATAGACTGCAATTACTGAACCAGATCTACATCCCAGTACAGATAATAACAATAACTCCATAATGTCAGCAAAATGCTGCTGTCAAGTGAAAAAACCTTTTAACTTCTGCTTTGTAGAATTATGTTTTGAAGCATGTTTTTAAGCAGAGAGTAGGGATTAGATCTAAACCTAGAAGAAAAATAAAGTTATCATTTTTTAAATCCCTTTTATTTCTCCTTTTCAAATAATACCCATTAGTAACATTCTCCCTAGGAAAAACCCCGATCTTTGATCTTGAACCACTTCCACAAAAATTATTTTATCCTCAGACTATAGCAGCGTGGCTGTCGGCCAAACCACACATCTACAGAGAATGTGTTTGTTTTGGGTTTTTCTGTTCAGATGCTAATCAAAATGACCATATCTTTGCTTAATGTAGTAAAATATTAAAACATACATAGGAAATCATAATAGCTACAAATCTGCTTCCAGTCCATTTGAAAATGGAGCTACAGGCAATACTCCTAAAAGACTGTATACCATAAATAATCCAGTACTGCAGTTATGTGGTCTAATGCGACAACAGCGAGACCAATTCAGGCAGGGACTCTATCAGGGATCCACAGAAATGAATCGGCTCCTTATAAACATAAACTTTTCAGGTGTTTCAACTCCTGAAGGCAGAGGGATCGCACACATCTAAATCCCCATAATAAACACCTCAACCCTATGATCAGTAAATAACTATTTTCCCAGCTGTATAAATCCACGAAGTACCTCTGGCTACATGTGCCCAGGTATTTGCTTGTTACTTAACCTTGTTTAACTTTTAAACCTTCCAATCCCTTCCCTTTCCTTCTATTAGTTGTTTTCTTTATCTTAGTGTCTGGCTGAGGAATACTGTGAGCTTCTGACTTCTGTTCTTAAGTATGCCTTTAATCCATAACTATAACCCCAACTCCCAGATATATTAAGTTGTATCCATATGGTATGGAAAACAGCACACAGTTGCAGTCAAAATCACAATACAAATAAATTATGTTGCATAACTAATGCATTACCTAACACCATGAAATATGAAACAACTCCTTTGCAAGTTCTGTAATTAGCATTAAGAAAGTTGCTGAATGGCTCATCAGCGCTTTAATTGTAGGTACAGTTGGTGTTTGTGCAAAACCTGCTTTGCATCTACCCGCCTGCTCCAGTAATAGAATTTTAAGAGGTTTACCAATATAATCTGTGCGTGTGACAAGCAAGAGGATATTTCACAATAATTACACCACACAATATAGTTAGAGCCTACAGACATTTTAATTGTTTTCATTTCTGTTTATCAAATACTCTCATATATCCACAGGTTATTGCATTGCACAGCAAAGCACCTACTCTGTCACCATCTTTTCATATATTTACGAGTCTATCCCTCACGTTTCAAGAGATAGTTAGCGTTAGTGTGTTTTCAAGGGTGGCTCACAATGATCACAGTCGGTATAAAAGTTTAATACCAAAGCCTCGCTTCATTTTTGTGACTCTCAAGTGATTATTTACAAGGAAGTACTGTAGATATAAGAGGTAAGGAATACAATAGACTGAAAAATCTATTCAAACTCTGTTTGCATTCACCTGTTTGTCTTTACTGTGGAATTCCATGCATATAAAACATATCTGCTTCAGATGGATTGGGCTCTGCCTTATTTGTACGTAATCTGTTCATAACTATTCCCACCTTTTATACTACTCTTATCTGTATATAATCTGCTCCTATTGCACTTACTGCTCTTGCACTTCTGATTAGATGCAAACTGTATTTCGTTACCCTGTATGTATACATGTGTAATGAACTACAACATTCGTGCTGTTATTTACAGACACATTTATCAAGATAAGTTAACAATAGCATGAGCACATTTACACTTAGTTATGTATGGGCGTACTGTAAATTGTTCCATATAACAAAGGAGACTTTGGACATGTAAATAAAAGCTTTCTGTAATAACAAGAAAGGAGCAGCCACCCTGCTTTAAAGCAGGTGGTTATGTACAGTTGGGATTTTTCCTGGATGTGACACAGGCTTATTTACAGTTTTAGAAATTTTCATTCTAATAAATTGTGACAAATACGTAACCTTTAGTAACTAATACATGTACTTCATAATGATCGAATATACTGAGAGTTTCCACCACCATATCACCCAAAGTATACTTTTTCTCCTAAGGCCTTTACTCTGCCCTCCTCTCTGTCCAGCTTAGTTTTTCCTGCCCATATCTCTTGCCGTCTCTTCAGTTAGAGCAGGTGTCTCTAGTGTATGTCACCCACTATGATCTGCAGGCGAGGTGATGTGTCGATCTCCTTGAGGCACCCTGTGGTGCTAGAAGCTTGCCGGAGGACAGAAGCTGCAATGTCAGAGCAGAGTTTGTCACTGGGGAACAAGGATGACACTTGATCCAATTAGAAGACATGTCAGTACCTCAAGAATGGTTAAGTGTGTGTGTGTGACTTTGTCTATATGCACACCAAGGTCTAAGCTTTCTTGTTCCCATCTCAGTCACTCCATGGCAGAAGCCATTTTTGCAACAGTCCAATGTTGTTTACTGATGTTGTTGTCAGCGCCGAGGTTTTTTGATGTCCAGGACGGACATTGTTTGAATTGGGCAGGATAGTTTGCATCTGTTGTTGTGCTTGTTCTTTCAGCTCCTCCCTCCTCCTCACCCTATCCCTGCCATCCTCTTCTGTCACATGAGCCGTGTGTTCACTGCATCCCGAATCTTCTCTGTGTCCAGCAGCTTCATCTTTATCATCCTTTGTCTAATATATCCACTGTCCCTACTCTACACATGACCAAAGCATCTCGGCCTTGCCTCTCCAACTTTGCCTCCAAACTGCTCAACGTGAACTTGTCCCTGTGATATACTCATTTCTGCGGCTGTTTGTTCTGGTCACACCCAGAATCTTCAAAATTGCCACCTGCAGCTCTGCCTACTCTCTTTGCTATCACCAGTGTGTGTGTGAATGCGTGAATGACTGAATGTAGTGTAAAGCGCTTTGGGGTCCTATGGACTAGAAAAGCGCTATACAAATGCAGGCCATTTACCATTTACCATTTTCTCTAGATCCACAAAGACGCACTTAAGCTCCTTCTGGGCTTCTCTATGCTTCTCCATAACTCTCAAAGCAAATACGGCATCTTTGGTGCTCTTTTTCAGCCTGAGGCCACAGCCTGCTTACTGATAGTCCCCTCTCTTCTTAACCTACTTTCAAGTCTTTCAAATATCTTGGTGGTATGGCTCATCAACTTTATTCCCCTGTAGTTACTCCTGCTCTGCAGATCACCCTTGATCATTCTTGAAAATCAGTACAGTTCACTTCTCTGTTCTCTATTCCTGAGACATCCTCTCGCTCTCCAGGATTAATGTTAAAACAAGCAAACTTTAAAATACATACTAATGAAAGTCTATAACGCTTCAAAGAACCATACCTCGTT